TAAGGTTTTCCGCTGCACTAATTAACCCCCCCCCCCCTCTTAGTGCTCTTGATCCTAACAGATTGTTGACTTCGGTGTTTATTATATCACTTCTGATTTATAGAGTTTATCTATCCGTACCTAATATGGAGGTAATAAAGACATTATCATTGGTAACAATATGGAATCCCTATTACTCACACTAGTTCCATAACACTTAATTCACACATAAACATTTATACACTCGATGATATTTTGTGTGTACATCACATCAAAAGAAATATTATTTTTATTTCTTAATTCTACAAACAAAACAACACATATATTAAGTTTTTTCTAACTCGTTTCTTGTAAAAGATTTGAGCATAGGGGTGCTCTTGGTCCAAGGTCAGAATAAAGATAATATCTACGAATGATCGTTAGCTTCACAAAATACTAAGTCAATCGCTCATGCTTTAGTTGTTGCTTCAATCGATGTGTGACATCGTCGCCTTAGTCACCCATTATCATTCATTTAACAATAACTAATTTCTCATGACTACCTTCCAACTTTCAAATCAAATAGAATTATAGCTTATCATGATGCTGTGTAAGTAATAAAAGTTATAGACTACTATTTGAAACATCTTTCATATCTTGCTCTAAACCACTTGAAATCATTTATAGTGATGTCTAGGGTCCTATCCAACCATTTCCTTTGATAATTTTATATTTTATTATTTTTATAGATTACTTCACTAAATATATAATTACTATATCCTCTTAAACATAAATATGAAGTCATCATAGTTTTTACTCATTTTAGAAATGTGATCGAAAACTCCTTTTATTTTATCATTAAAATAGATTACTCTAATTGAGGAGATGAATATTAAGATCTAACAACTTATCTCTCAATATGTGATATACAATAACTTATCTACATATAGTTGATACTAGTCTCACCCTCATATACTAAGCCTTTATGCTACAAACCTTTTGGTCAGCAACCTTTCAAATTGTATTCTACCTCATTAACCGCATGCTCAACCAAATCATAACAACATCAGTTATCATTTAAAAAGTTATTTCATAAAACCTCAAACATTTAGAAACTCAAAGAATTTAGTTATTTATGTTCTATCTAGCTACGCCCCTATGTTTTGCACAAGTTAACACCAAAATCCAAGTCTTGCATCTTTATTGGGTACTCTCTTGAACATAATATTTTTCCAATGCTATGATCCTTAAACTCAAAAGATCTTTATATCACGTTAGATTCTTTTTGTTTAGTATATATTTTTCTTTTAAAATATTACTTGTTTAGTAATGTGAGTAACTACAGTAATTATCCATTACTGGGTTCATATAAGTACACATCAAACCCTCTTAGGCACACCTCTCACTATATTAACCAATAATTTTCCCTTAGACCTATACTCCCTTTTTACTCCAATTCAACAGGACCTTGTTGCCTCTATAATTTCACCATCTACCTCTCCACTAACTAAGTCTACAATGCCCAATGAAGCAACACCCTCAACACCAAGTGACACCAAAGTGCATCAGCTTGATCAGGTATGTGTCACTAACTCTTCACCAATTGTAATACCTTCAATACAACCCAATAATATCACTGAGCCTAGACATCACATGGCTACATGCTCCAAAAATGACATATTCAACTACATCAAATCTTTAATCTTTATGCTATTATAAGCTCTCCACCTGTGTCTACTAAACCCACAACCATCACCGAAGCCCAAAACTCTCCACAATGGTGCAAAGCCATGTGTAAGGAATATGATATTATACTCTATAATGTTACATGGACCCTTGTGTCATCTCACCCCACACAATGTGTCATCGGGCGTAAGTAGATCTTTTAAATTAAGTGAAACCCAAATGGATCCACTGCTAAATACAAAATACATCTAGTGGCTAAAGTGTTAATTTCATATAGATCTTCAGTCCAGTTATTAAGCAAATAATAATTTGACTCATCCTAAGCTTGGCTATCGCTCTGGCATATACGATAATTAAACATTAACAATGCTTTCTTACAAAGGATCTTAACTGAAGATATTTTTATGTAGCAACTCCTTGGGTTCATCTACCCTTAGTATCCAAATCATATTTGTAAAGTACGAAAAGTTATTTATGGACTTCGTCAAGCTCTAAGAGTATGGTATACTAAACTTGGCTCATTTTTTATGTCAATCGATTTTGTCAACTGCAAACCTGATACCTCTTTATTCCTATGACAACAAAAGAGATATATTATGTATCTACTAGTCTATGTGAATGACATTATCATCACAGACAATAATTTCATAGAGATCAAATAATTTCTTAAGCAATTGGCAGATTGATTCTCTATCAAAGACATGAGAACCTTAAATTACTTTCCGAGAGTGGAAGCAATATTCATTTCTGAACTGTTTTTATCTCAAAAGACATACATTCGATATTTATTATTAAAGACGAATATGTGGAATGTGAAAGAAGTCATCACCCTACTCTCCACAATTGAGTTACTTAAATTATAAGATATCAACCCTACTATAGATCCCACACAGTATCGACAAGTACTTGGTTCTTTATAGTATTTATTTTATACACGACTAGATATTTCATTTGTAGTCAACAAATTATCATAATTAATACATTGACCCTCCACTGTGCATTGGTCTACACTAAAACGTATTCCGTGATATCTTTATCTCCATGCCTTCTCCTTCGTAAACACTCATCACTTCATCTCCATGCCTTCGTCGATATTGATTGGATAATAAATATTGATGACTGAATAGCCTACATTCTTTCTTGGAGCAAATATGATTAGTTAGAGTTTCAAAAAACAAAACACGATTGCAATATATACCACTGAAGTTGAATACCGAGTCATCATTACTATTGCTACACAATTCAATTAGGTCACCAATCTGCTACACAAACTTGACATCACCTCTCAATCCACTCCTATAACATACTATGAGAATGTCAGTGCCACCTACTTAGGTGCCAACCCAGTGTTTCATTCATGCATGGAACACATTGTTATTGACTTTCATTTTGTTAGAGATCAAGTTGTCAAGCATCAACTACGTATTTCTCACATCTATATTTTTGACTAACTAGTAAACTCTTTCACAAAGCCTCTCGCCTGCAGAATATTACAATTGCATCGATCCAAGATTGATATAATTGATGAAAGCTCAATCTTACAAGGGCATGATAAAAGATCATATATAGGTAAATATGAAATAATAATTTTACATTCCTTACGTGTTTTAATCCCCAATCAATATGTGATTTGACGATCACTTATAAATTTAAGTATATGATTTAGGCATATGATCGAGAAAAATCTCTTCCTCACAATCGGTATAAAATCTGTATTATCTTAATGAATGTAATCATGCCGTTCACAATAAATTTTTTTAGTGAAGGGGTTGGGATGACTCGGAGCTGCCTTGCTACATCATCTCTTCCTTCAGCATCATCGTTTGTTAAAAATATAATAAGAGTCGTGTCTTATTTAAGTTTTTAGATGTAATGATGTCTCGAGTATAAATTCTTTGTATATTTTTAATTCTCATCTAGTACTCTTTATTTTCTCAAAGACTAAGAGTACCTATGATCCCTGTATTATCAATCTTCTTGACACCATCAACTCCGTGTCGAGACGTTAACGGAAGGGGAGGATACAATCACAAGTGACAACAGCGACAACGGAGGGGAGGGCAAAGGACAACGGAGAAAGATGAGAGGGGAGGGCATAGAGAGAGAATGCATAATTTTATCTTTTAAAAAATAAAAAAAATATATTATATACATAGATACATATTTTATACAAGGGAAGTGATAATAATATAAATATGAAGATTATATCTCATCTAAAAATATACATACATAAATCATGCCTTATCATTTTCAGCATTCAAGAAATTGAATGGATGAGCACAATGATTTCCTGTAGGCATAGACTGGCTTAGTTTGTTTGCAACGAGTAGTAGATCTGCTGGTTTGCAAGATCAAACAAGATTTCTTAGGATTCTAGTGCTAAGTTCATCGTGGCATGCATGCATGCACATTTAAATGGATGCACATTTAAATGAGCACAAAGTTTTGATCTTAGCACAAGAAAATGGATTATGTATCTGTCGTATGACGTTGAACTGAGTCGTACTTCATCAACCCATACAAACATTTCAAACATTCAGCTGATAGAATAAACAAGAACACCTTATGATGCAAAGCTGTTTAGAGAAACCAATTTATAAAATAATTAAATAAGGTAAATAGCATCAAGTTATACCATGTCAATTCAATTGTGTTAAAACCAATGGAACAACAATCAAGGAGCTCTAATATTGTATGTAATCCATTAAAAATTCAAGGTACATTATATTTATAAGAGCAAGATTGTCAGCTACCAACATTCATAAGAACCCATTCAAGTTAGCTACTAATAAATCCACAAATTATTTCTTTTTTTCTTGGAAAAATCAGTCCTAGAAAGCAATTTTAAACCATCAGTGTGTATTCTAAGGTTAAAAATAGATGCTCCAATTAAGGCAAGTAAACACTAGACCGGGAAATGACAGTTCTCAATTAAGGATGATGGCTGACTCGGAACTTAGTCTGCTTCATCGACAACCTTGGTGCCCAATCCCTTGAAACCCTCTTGTGAGACCTCGGCAACTGTGACCAAAGAAAATAGCTCTTCTTTGGCATCCTCCTCATCGTTCCTTTTCCGAGCAATTCTCACCCGGACTCGCCTTGGCACGCTTCGGATCCCTCTGCTCCATATGTGCTTGTTGAGCTTCACATCAACCCTGACATCTGTGGTGCCCATGGCCTTCTGTGCAAACTTTTTGATCTCCTTGATTGCCTTGGGAGCCTTCTTCTTGAATGTGCTGCCCATTAACAGAACAGGAATATGAGCATCAGCAAAAAGAAAAAAAAAATGAATAATATATAATTGCAGCCATTGCCTTATAGTGCAGATGATACCCACAAAAACCTTGTAATCACAAGCACACAGCTTTCCTCCTAACTTGTATGTTCTTAACAAACACAAACACCCTTGTTTTTAACTTGCATGATAGCAAGTTCAAAGAACACATGCTTCAAGATACTTGCACAATGCTGGCAGTCACATGGTGAAAGAGGAACCTACTAAAATATCATCATGTTGGACTGATCGAAGGCCTTGCATCCATATGAGAACAATATTGTAGTTTGCAACGAAGAAATAAGATGAAAAATATTAACAAAACCCAAAATCAAGATTGAATTGTTTACAAAAAGGCAGCGTGTTGCAGCATGCCAATGCACACTAAAAATCTGTAAAATCTCTTGTAAATATTAAGAATATGAAGGAATATGAATCCTTAATGAGTTCTTGAGGGGACATTCTGAGATTCCAGCTACAAGGTAAAGCCTAAAAGCTAATTCAATCATTGGGTCAAAGTTGCAGCAATATGATGCACAATTAACAACTGCATAACGGACAATCAAACAGTCCATAATAAGGAAACCATGCTTGGATGTGCGGAAAAGGATATACAATTTAATCATCAACTGATGAAAATCGATGGTTGATTACAGTCCTTAATGATCACATGTCTGCAAACTGAATCCATTGATGCAATCCTATAATCAAACACTTACTGAAACCAAGATTTTTCAGCTTGCTGGACTCTTCAGAGAGATATGCCAATCCCTTGTTTGGAGGAATAAGAAAGCTATATGTTTGATGCATTTGATACATATTGCATGCCTGGCATGCCTCAGCACAGGCATACAAGTCCGCATGAGTTACCTGACTTATGACAGTTGCAAAATGCTTTCATGACCTCGAAGTTCATACCAACCGAGTTCACGAGCAGTAAACGGTTGCAATATCTCCACTAGAACAATAAATAGCTATTCAGAGAAGCCTAATGCATTGCCACATAGAGTCCTCTAATGACAATATATAATGATGTACATTCTTTTAACGTTTGAGCAACGATAGTAACATAAACATAACCCTTTAGACGTAACATTCGTCCTCTCCATTTTGATCGCATCATCTTTGGCTATGAATCTAACTTTACTAAATAAATAAATTTCCACTTCCTATATAAATCTACGGCATTCTCATAAATGAATCAAAATTCAAATCTATAGAAAGTGTAATTGGATCTCCCAGCTTTGCTATACAAATAACCACATAAAGAAAGCAGAGAGATGAGTATGAAAGTTCAAATTAATTGGCGGAGCATATCATAAACACAGAAATGCTATTATGATGTTGCTAAGCAACACAAATACGAAAGGTTCGATTTACTTATAGATGCAGAAACATCGGATGCAAGAGGATGACCAAGGCTGCATCTCGACATGCATTAGCCACTTCGGCTTACTAATGAGAAACGAACTACTACGATCTTGACAAAATCCCTTGAAAACATGTTGTCTACCACTGTAAAGAAAAGAACCAAGAAGACAGTGATACGCGGAAAGAATACCATCCATGTAAACGTTTATGGAGATTGATCGTGTACTCCCTCGTGATCACCTCCTTCCTCCATTTGGTGCCCTTCTCCACCATCTTCCCTGCCGCCGCTCTCCCTGGAAAGAAACCGAGCTCGAACCCTTCGCGGCGAGTAAAACGAAACCCTCGGTCAGTCGATCCGAGTGGTAATATATAGAGCGTAGTGCACTCTCACGTGCCCTAAATTACGAGATCGCCCTCTAATGACTAACCCGGCCTAGCGATCAGGCCGGTTCGGTCCGATCGTTTATGCTGCACAACTTGGACCGAACCGATCAACCCAACTACGAATGTCCAAGGCCAGGCCTGTTTGGAATTTAATAATCAAGGTTAGATGAGACTCATTAATACTATGAACAAAAAATTAATATTAAGGTTAAGAAAGAAAGTTAGAAGAAGAGTTATGATGTTGAAACCATAAAACAATTAAAATATTCTTAATTTAACTAAAGATATTATATGATACAGAGTTAAACGATGAAAAAGGAACATTACAATCAATCATAAATAGTTGTGACAAAGACGTGATGGAGAAAAGATTCAATGCAGAGTATAGAACTAAAAATATTCCTTTTTTCTTGAATTTTTATTTTCATGTTCTTAACGAAAAGAAGGACTCAGAGAGGGCGTCCGATGAACATCATAGGCTATCAACAATTTAACATTGAAGTTCCTTAAGGATGGAAGTCACATGTTACAGAAATAAAAGATACACATACACAATAAGACTACAACGAGAAAAGAATCAACAGACACCAGTAAACACGGCACAACAGATTAGTGTGTTTCTTCCACAAGGCAGCATCCCATGCAAATCTGGATTGAAATGCTTTGAAACTTCCAAGATAGACAGCTAGTTACAGTCAGGGCAATCCATTGCATTTGAATTGTTGTTACACGAAGCTGAGAAACCTGAAGATATGAATCACCTCCTCCCAGAGTGGAGATAGCCTTGATTTTGGAAGCAGTTTAGAAGAGCCCGAGCCTTGGAAACAAAAAGGATGAAAAAGCACATAATCATGTTAGTACCATCGCCAGTTAAATAATATAATTTGACTCGGCAAAAACATGTCATGTTCTATCGCTTCCTCTTTGTTCAAGGAACCATGAGGGTGGGTGTTTAACCATAGGAATAAGTCAAGAGAGGTTGAGAAATAGAACAATAAAACAAGATGGCAAATGCATTCTTATCTAAGATTGAAACCAACGTATATGTTATAAAGTTTTATTTGAAAGTAGAAACCATTCTTTAGAAACCAATGAGCTTGCAATTGCCACAAGTCAAGATCAATTCATCCATAGATCAGGAACCTATCATAAACCTTTCAGTGGTTTTGTTTATATAACAATGTCAATCAATGATGTGATTATCTAAGAGCCACACAACAATGCAAGAAAATCATATAACAACTACATTGGAAACCGTACATACATTCTTAACATTTCAGGAGCATCCTATAACCAAAGTCTGACTACCCAAAATCTCCCTGTTAACTCTTCAGAACCACTATCTGACGTGCCCTCATGACCTCCATCAACTCTCTGCCATCTACTTAATCAGCTGATTCATAAGAATCTGGAATGTGTTCCTATTGCTCTTTCAAAATGTGACGATCCAAAAGACAAAAAAAAGTGACAATCCAAGACAAGATCACCGATGCTACGTCTAACCATCTTGATCATACTCTAGCCCAAAATAGGAAGTTCCCCCACAAATATTCAAGACTCTTTAATATTTAAACTTCCAATATTAAAGTTAATTTCATCTGTTCCATCCCAATCCTCCATATTCCGATGCTTATGTGTTCAGCCATAATGATCACATTTTCAAGCTTTTCAACAAAAAGCCTAGCCCAGATGAATTTCCACAAACTGCTTGTCATGTTCAATTGTTCAAAACTTCTAAGGTTAAACAACAAAGTCATATATTCCACTCTCATCCCTTGTATCACATTCATCTATTATCCATATTCTTTTCCAGATTTATAGAACGAAGTTACAATAATCTTGCTGTCAATATTAAAATAAGCATCACTTCTAATTATACCCGAAGTTCAGATCAAGATATTCCGATACTAGCTCTTTAAATATTATTGTGAAAAGGCACTGAGTGCTTGACTTATTTATATGTAGTATATGTAAGATATCAGTACTCATACATTTGGATACTTCTTATATATGTGCTGTATATTTCCTTGAATGGTCTAAGATAAAATAATTATTTAGAAATAGGATACACTGGAATATTTTCCTTTTTCATGAACTTTAAATTAAGAGTTTCTTTTTCTTGATCCATGTGTCTTTGAAGGCATGTAGATTTAGAGAATCAAATTATGGTTGTAAAAAAAAATTTCACGTTGTTGTCTTGCTTATATTGTTATATCTGTTCTATAATTTTTGGAGTATTTTTGATGAATGGATTGGGGATGCTTGTTAAATATTGGTACCATATCATGATTTAACAACATAATCTAATACTCTAAATAAGGGTTATATATGGTTTATCATATATAATCCTATTTATTTAAAATACTTCTAAAACAATATCCATGACTTGTATCCTCTTTTTTCAAGATGTAACACCAGCATATCACTAGAGTGTCACACGGATACCCAGCATTAGTAACCATGCTTAACACTGTTTTTGAAGAAGAAAGTACAGATAATTTGGCATCTTTATATCACTTCCCAAGTTTTATATATTTTCTAAAAGTTTTATATATTTTCGTGACATATATGATATTGTCCATAACTGGCAAAACTAATTTTGAAAAGATACGAGCATCACTTTTCAAGTGTTAATAAACTCAGACTTCTGGATCACTTGTAAATCTTCATTCCTCTTTATTGATGATCTACTCTAGTGTACATCATTTGAACTTGAAACCTAAACTACCATGAAGTTTCTTGGATGAAGCCACTTATGGGCCACTCATTCCTACCATGTTACAGTTATCATCAGAACTTCAGCACAATAAACAGATATTTTCCTAAGTACCACATCCAGCTTAAAAGCTGGAACCGACAAGGTTGAACTAGTATGGTCGCAACCTATCTCAATTGATTTAATAACTTGGATATGATAGGCCAAGGACCATATAATCTAAAATGCTTGAGCTTAATCTCTCAGTAGTAGATCCATCTAACTCTACATACTACTTTAATGACTATTGCAGCATCACAATCTCGCTCACTTAAAAGAGAACAGCAATGACATGTCCCATGCTGGTCCTGGACCTGCATAGGCATGATATCCAAATTCCAACATACCATCCTTATTTATCTTATAAAACCATTCTAGCCAAACTCATATATGCCAACATGCCGTTTAGCTTATTCTATTCTTAATGATCTAAAACATGCATATGCACATATAATGAAAGAAACTACAAAAATTAGAATAATCAAAGATAAGAAATTTAAGAGCAAGGAAAATGGCACGAACTAGTAAACATTGGCATTTTTCGAACAGTAAATTTAGTATTAAGAGTATAATAGTCAGCTTTGCCCACAAGCAGAAATAACAGGAACCAAAAACCGTAGTATTGATCTCTGAGCTACAAATTTAAATTATTTAAAATTTGTCACTTGTAAAACAAGAGAAGCCTAGCAGTAAGATGATAATATAAATGCAGCAAAAGAAACAAGATATAATTGACAATACCTTCTCTTTAGCACGTGGTGTACCAAACTGTGACAATGCTACCAATGGAGGCACAGCACCTTCCTGAAGAACTAGACTACAAAATCTACCACTATTCTTACACAGCTGAAGCAAAGCTGCAGCAGCATTTTCTTTTGCTCTTGCAGACCCCAATTCAACAACCTCCACGAGTACAAAGATACCACCATCTTGACCAAGTGCATTTCTTCCTTCTGGTATACTTGCAAGGTTTGCTAAAACAGCCACAGCCTTGTCAACCATACCAGTTGCTGGGTCCATCAGCTCTACCAAGTGACTCATGGCTCCAGCCTGCACAATCCGTAGCTTGTTGTCACGCAAGGTTGACAAATTATATAATGCTGATACTGCATCTTTCTTTCCTCGAAGAGTTCCATTTGCTAAAAGTTCTACCAAAGGTCCGATAGCACCAGACCGTCCAATCTGAAGCTTGTTTTCTTCAGTTACTGAAAGGCTAAGTAATGTTGCCGCTGAGTTCTCTTGTGCTTCAGGGTTGCCTGTCTTAAGCACATGAATGAGAGGGTCAATGGCATTGGCATTTGCAATGGCAATCTTATTGTCACTTAGTGACAAGTTTAGAAGGGCTGTCACGGCATTTTCTTGAGTCTTTGGATCTGTTGAATGAAGCAGACCAACCAACAAGCTTATAGCTCCACAGTTTGCAATCACCATCCTATTTTCCATGTGTCTAGCAAGAAGACGCAGCTCAGCTGTAGCAGCTCTCTGCACATCTGTAGAATTACTCTTCAAATCTTCAATCAGCTCAAAGACTTTGGATTCATCACCTGATATATCAAACCTAGAATCCATGGCCTGAGAAGAAAAATACAACAGTCAGACATGACTCTCTAAATGAAGCTGATATGCACTAATTGATGTATGAATTTAGGGAGAGGAGGAACAAAGTCTTAGGAAGCAAATAAAAATTAAATAAGTATTCCTGCTTTTATACCCCTTGACTTAGGGATTTGTCTTTGACTGCATCGACTAAACCAACAACATATACGGTCATTTAAGGTCTCATGCCCAATTCGCGGTGCATGTACGAAATCCATTTATGGAATTCTAAGGAATAAAGAAAAATTACACATTATTCATGCTGTATATTCATGAAAGAGTACATGCAACTCCGGCAAACTTAAAACCACATTTCCCTTACAAACAGTGTGCAGTTTGCTCAATGTTTACAAGGACAAGGTAGTAAGTGATTAAGCCACCTGATGAGCCCGGGTATCAGACTAAGAATCTTAGAGGTATGATAATATACATGTATTAGATTGAGAACAGAGGCAAAAATAATGATTGCATTGAAGCATACAATTCTAAGCACAAACAAATTACGATACGGCCATATTTGATGCCAACAGAAGAACAAAAGCAGCACAACCAAATTAAGAGACAGGGCCATATATAACATTAACAGAAGAACAAGAGTAGCACAATCCAATCAACAGCAGAACGAGTGCAGGATAGAGGATTAATACATATGACTTGGGTTCGATCTAACGTAACACGTACTGCGTAACATCAACAAGTAAGATCGAACAATAAATTCGACTTTAACCAACTTTTCCTGTCGATAAAACAAAAAAAGGGACTACCTCTAAATCCATACATGTACGTTCCTCGGCGACCAAAAAACCATTCAAGATGCGACCTTGGAACGATTAAGCGAAACCCTACATTTGCATCTGGTCAAGAATTTATCAGGTGATAACAGGTTTAATACGTGGGAATGAGGTGCATATATAGAACGAACCATCTTCATCTTGCGACAACCGGACTTCCCCACTCCGATTCGTCTCCACCTATTCGCCAAAAGAGACGCAAACTTCGCGTACGCAACAGTTCGAAGAGGAAGCTCACGAAGCCGTTCTGGGGAAGAGAGCGAGCTTGGCGGTGTAAAGGACCTCGCGGCGGAGAGCGGTATCGCAGAGGACCGGCAAGACCTGCGCTAGGGCGTCGGGGTTTGACGCAGTCAACCTCTCCCTCGTTCCACACGTCTTTCGCTGCGCTAAGGCTTCGTGGCCCATTTCAAGCCCAATTAGAACACCACGTTGCGATCGGATCACTCATTGTCAGCCCAACCAAGCAACGTTTTGGTTCGGACGTCATTCCCAATCTTGGAATCAGATTCACGTGCACTACGAGTGCCTCCGTGTATATGGCATGCGATAGATGCTCCAATAAAAAGGAAGAATCTATAGGCAAATTCTTCATCGAAGAATCAAGTGATTGATAATGGCGCTACTATATATCTGATCATCATCAAGTGCGTTGCATTCAATGAAATGAACAACAGATATCGAAGGATGTCAACAAATGGGTTCAATTAATTATTCAGCTATTCGCATACAAACATGTGTATGCAATATGCATATATATGTAGAGAGAGAGAGAAAGAGACAGGATCCATTTCTTTCTCCTTGCGAGAGGCTACTGCAAGTAGAAGGCGAAGAAGGAGAGGACGGAGGCCCCAAGCACGGCTCCGACAGCGGGTGCAACCGCGAAGGAGGCGCTGGTGGGGGAAGGGGCGGGGGCTTCAGCAGCGAAGGCTGCAGTTGCCGAAGCGGCGGCGACGAGGACGGCGCAGGCGATCTTCTTCATCTCCATTGTTGGCGGTGGACGGCGAGAGAGTCTGGCCGGAGCAGCACCGCCTCCTGAGCTTGGAAGCTGAGATGAAGAAGATGGGTTGGTGAGTTCTTCTTCTTCTTCTTCTCCTTTGCAGGCCTGAGGAAACAAGGGAAGGTGGGATGGGGTTTTATAGACGTATGGGCGGGTGTGGCCTTCGTTTGTGGCTGGCGGTGACAGCCGTGCGTTGCGGTGGTGGGGGGATTATGTGCACGCATGTTCGTGAAAAATGGGGGTTCGGGGAACGTTCCGTTGACGGTTGACCGAATCCTTCGTTCATACGTTACATATGCACTACAATTATGCCTCATGCATGTGGCGGTGGTTTGTGTTGATTATATGTATATATATTACTTGTTTGCCCGGTGTCAGGTGTGACATTTCACTGGAATGATGATGATGATGATGATAGGTGGAAGCTCAGTGATTTATAAGAAGAGCAAAGCACTTGGGATTTTGTTTTTTATGGGAAAATACACAGGGAAACATTACAGATATGATTATCACGAGCAGGTGACCACAATGTATCGCTAAGCAATATTGATGTGACCGTGGGGTTACGTGAAAGGATTAATTTGTTTTAATTTGCGAATGATGATGGGATCAAATCCGCACATGAGATGGGTGATTTGTGGGTGCACAGATCTTGATGCCGCGAGACAAAGTGGAGGATATGCCCACATCACATCGATCAACTTGTAGGTGAACGTTAGAAGCTCAATGGCACTCCATTCCAACAGCGTGGAGTAAAAAGCGGGTGAATTGTCAATGGGGTCCTCTGGTTTCACATCATCGTCGGAAGATCTAAAGAAGGCGGCAGAAGGAGATTAAGAAACAATTAACACAGGTTGACCAATGTGAACTTTGTAACATTCGGAACTTCCTTTTCTAAACACAGCCATTCGATTGCCAACAAAGTTGAATGTAATTACAGAACGGCAAATTTTCAATATGCACTATTCTGTCAGAAACAAATATGATGACGATGATACAAGTCTTTTCCTTTTCTGTATTGTACTTAATGTTCGTACTTGTGCAAACACAAATTCCAACCGACATTTAGGCCAAGCAAAATGATGTTCCTCATACTAGTATCATCCTCCTTCAAAACCAGAGACAAATCTGCACCTAGACAAAACACTATGTAAACTGACCAAGAAAATACGCCACTCCAAGAAATACCAAAATAAGACGCTAGAGAAACATTTTACCTTGAAAGTTTTCTCTGATAGCATTTTGACATCTATTTCAGCGCAGAGGGAGGAACCGGGGCAGTAAAATGACCTTGCTTGGCCATAAATATTTCCTGCAGATAAAGGTGAGTACCAAGAACATGAACAAAACCAAGATGATATCAGCATAGGAAGCATGAGGGAAATTATCAAAATAAAACCAAGATGATTATCTTGCATAGTGATCGTAGAAACATAACTGTGATGTACTAGAAAGATCAAAAAGACGGATAATTGCAATTCAATCTAAAATTACCAGCTGAGGAAAAGTTGTATAAGCATCTTGCTCCACACTTACATTTTATTAGAGACAAGCAATATAATCCTAGAGATGCAATCCATTGAAAAAGTCGGAAAGCCTGAGACAACAAGCAAGCAAAGAAAGTCAGTCACAAATATATTCCTTTAAGGTTACTACATTGTTGAACAAGCTACAAAAATCATTGCAAAACCTAATATCTTTGGCAATAACGGTGCTTCCATCTTCAGTATCTAGATGGCGTAGTACCACTTCTTCTAGACGACCATCTCTATAAGCATGCTGGAAAGATTAATGTTGTTTGTTTCATCAGAAACTGATACTACGAATATCAAAATGGTAAATGAGTTTCATCAATGAATTTGAAGCAAACGAATAATGAAACAACACAAATATCAAAAGTAGATCGTGAATTATTTAAACATAATAAAATATAAGACACTGCTGATATTGTAAACAAATCAGCAAAACACCCAAAAAAAAAATGATAGAGATCGAGATCTTGCATCATAATAATTTCTTAATAGTTTGAACAGGTTTATGAACAATGTCACATCCTTGAGAAAAAGTTCCAGTGACGAACTGCACCTGCCAAAGGTTATGCTGGCCTAAAAATCACAATATACTTTCTTTTACTAAACTGATTATAATTAGTGTCTCTCTGTATTTTCTATAGAGGATAATCTCTAACAAGACAAAAGCTAACGAGTCGATCAAAATGTGAGCTAGACACTTGGAGACAAACTCAAACCTAAATTTCATAAATTTTCTTTAAGGTTTTAAAGTAACCACAAGAAAAGAACATCAAGTATAAAACAGAAATAGGATCAAATTGAGTCATTGGCCGTCTTCAGGTTTCGACTTTCAAAAATCTCATCCACAGCAAATCAAACTCTCATCACAGGAAAACTTACTTTTTTACAAAATAGTTGAAGAGGATGGCTCATGGTTGACCATAGGCATGGTCCAACACAATTAGTTTTTTCAAATAAGTTTTTTTATTAAATATTATCCTGCATTTCTAGTATCTTTGATTCCCTATCAAAGTATTATATCACTAATTAAACTTACTCAGCCTCGTAATCTTGTGAGATGTTTTCCTAGTATTATCTTATAGTGGAAAATATTCCTGAAAGCATGACAAAATGTGATTTTATAAGACAAGATGCAAGAGCATGAATGCTTTTGTTTGTCTTATTTCAGTAAAAGAAAAGAAAAGGAGGCTATCAACTTTGACGGTAGGTACAATATTAGATTAGTAGAAGTGTGAAATGTAAACTTCCGCCCGCTAGGTGACATGAAGAGGAATTCCAAATCAAATATACCTTGTAGAAACAACTAGTCCCAAATGGGCAAGTCCCATTTCCAAAGTCAAAATATTTGCAATCAATTGACCTGCCGAAAAACAAAAGCTATTAATCCAGAGCAAATTATTTTTTTCTAAGTAACATGTTCAGCCACACATGAAGGAAAGCTGACCATAATCAAAATATACTGTAGCTATCAGGATTTACCTAACACTTGAAACATGCTTATATAAACAAAATCAGCTACTATTATCAAACTGAGATGGCAATAGGATGTATGAATAGCTTCAATAAACATGATTCAGAAATAAGTTACATCTGTAGACCTATGGGCTCCATTCTAGACCATAACGAAGAAGGAAAGTTTCTAGCTTTAACTTGTGATAATATCTTTTCCATCAAACTCCTCCCTCATAACCACATATTAGTCCCAAAATCCTGTTTAAGCAAAATAAAGGCGTATTGAGCCTACATTTAGATGTTTGCAAGAAAATTTGCACTTGACATACCATAGGGAGAAGAAAGATATTCATTTTCAAAGCCATAATAGCTTCAACCGCCGCATGATCCACAGTGCAAACCATAAAGAAAAGTGTTTATTAAAATTTTTGCAGAACTGAAAAATGGCAGAGTTTTTTTCTTGAACATCCAGGCAACATGCAGTTGCAGACAGAATTGGGAACAGTTCACCCTCCTACTAGAGATCAAGGATCTTGGTTGATCATAACAGATCTCGGACAAGAATTTTCAAAACCTGACTAGCTCATTGATTTAAACAGGTCCAACCTTGTATTGATCTCTTGGTCCTCCTACCCTGAAATGTACACTGCTTGTTTTCATAAAAATAAAAGGCAAAGTTATTTGACACAGAGAAAGCAGCATAAACAGTAAGTTAACAGCTCTACAGTTACACAGGTTCACTGGTCCTTTTTGTTTTAATTTTTCTTTTCTGGAAGTTAGTTTCTAAAGGATTGGAACTTAACAAGTTAGACCAGAAACAAATTAGTTCCATATACATCACAAGCGATCAGACTAATTATGTCACAATGTTTGTGTAGGCAACTAGGCATCACATATTTTACATGGTTTATGGAAATTAGAACACAATGAAAATTGACAATTATTGGGTGAATGTAGCAGAAGGTCAAATAATGACATACTTGAGCTTGATTTTGTAGCTATCAACTATCTCTTGTTTCTCCTCCTTTGTGGAATACCAAATGACACTGGGGATGACGAAGTATGATAGCTTTCGACATATTGGGCAGGCCCTTAATGCACTGTTGACATCCATGCCCGATGCTGGAGAATTGCTACGCCAATTTCGAATACAAGAAATGCAGAATGGGTGATCACACTCTGAAAGCAACCCAAACTTCCGTTCAGCTGCGGTGGGTTTAGAAAGTACATGTTCAAGACAAACACTGCATTCTATCTCCTGACTGCATTTCAAAGCTTCAAGGTGCTTGTTATTTTTATGACACATCTTTATGTGTTCCTCTCTTTCATCAGGACGGAATGGGTGTAAGCAATGCTTTCCACAAATGGAGCACAAATCACCATGAATGTGAGGACATCTATCTCCACGAGGACATTTACCAGAAGCAGCAAAAGAGCAGATTGGTTGGTCAGCAGGGCTAACATATGTAGGACTGCAGATTGGTTGGTCAGCAGGGCTAACATATGTAGGACCGCAGATTGGTTGGTCAGCAGGGCTAACATATGTAGGACAAGGGCCACTCTCATCGTTTAAAGAAGTATCAACTTCAAAAGCTTTTGTCCAGGCAGGTTTACACGGCAATGTATGAGCCAGGCTCATTGCTGACACATCTACAGATGTGCTTGGTTCTGGATTATATTCTCTTGTCAAAGAAACTACAGCAGGGAGAGTAACTTGATGAAAATCTGATGTTACATGAGAAGCAGTGTTTAACGATGATAGTCGTGATGTTTGTTGTCGAGAAACTTTAACATGGTCATATCTGCATCGATTACCATAAGAGCACACTCCTTTTTGGTAGAAGGTGCATATCTGTAATGAAGAATAAGCACAAAAGAAGTTACAGCAATGCTGTATGCACCCTAAGAAAAACAACAATATCAAATAGAAGTTGTGTTACATTATTGGGCTGATCTTGCCAATCATGGGAAAACTCACAGTACTCCCCCTTTAAGCATGCTCCATGCAGAAAGAACTTGCAAAGAATCCTGGATCAGCCAAAAATTCATAATTCCTTAGTAGTTGAGAGTCACAATAAAAGAATAAAAGAGCCAATATTCTAGATATGAAGATCTAAACTTCATGTTTTCTTGTGTATCTAAAATTCATAAAGAATAACCAAGGACAACAATCTACAAAATGTGGATTAGACTTGTAGAATTTCAAAAAATCTTTGTTATCATTTGATGTTCCAATAAGAAGCAGAATGGGACTACAAAAATATCCATCTCACTGTCAACTGGATCACCCAAAACAAAATAAACTGACATATCTTAATCAGAAAACCATATCATAATTTCAGATGAATATTCAGATCTAAATTTATGAATGAGATATGATTCATTTGAGTTCTCCACAAAATTGACATTGATGAATTTACTCGTAATAGGTAAAACCCCAAACTCAAAGAGGTTATAGGCCAAAAGTGGAAAGAGAAGATAAAAGAGAGTGTTGATCGATCAATCACTCGACACTACATACACCAAGTCTTCCTATCGTCCCCTCATAAAAATCAGAAAGCCAAAATCCAGAAGTAAACTCCTTTTGGAGTATGCATGTTTTCAACTTTCTCCGCAATAAAAAAAATATATAATTGATGCCAAGAAAGTACTTTGATACATTTTTGTGAAAGGCATCCATCATACACCAAATCTAACAAGAAATTAGGAAAGCAAGCATGACACTTTACAAAACAACCTAAATTTACCTACAGCTGAGGATGATGCACACACAAACGATTCCTGTAATTAGTCTTAAACAACACCAGTTTGTAAATATGGAACATCACATTGAACAGCATGTGAATGCTCATATCTCAGCATCTGAATCCTAAACACTTTCATAGTTTCAACATATTACCAAAATAAAAATATATTGAGAGGCAATGCATGCCTGTTCATAAAAATGCTGCCACCATGGCCAATCAAATGAAAAGTTCTTGACTGAATGCATCACTTCATCTAGGGAAATCAAATATCATTCCAATTAAATGTTAATATACTGACCCTTATCCTCCTAGTCATCATAGGAACCCAAGTCGGGCAACAAACTTCCTCGAAAGTGTCTCTAGCCAGCTGCAAGACTATACCCTCTCTACTTTGGGGTCCTTAGGAACCATCATAAGTTTGGGGCTCTTAGCAAATTGTATCATCAGAAACATCTTGGAATTCAGAACTTCATCTAGTATCTTGTATTCAGACATTAAAAAATCAACTCAAGTTTCCCGCAATTTTTTTCTTACACCACCTTATCCCTGATACAATTACCTAAGCAGTTCATCTACCGCATGGTTGTGTCTCAAATCTGACAATCTTGTGGTTCAAACGTCTATTATATACGTAAATAATTAACAAATAACCATCAACGGCCTCTCACTTTATGCACTCATCCTTCATTAAAGGAGCCATCAAATTTGATGTTTTTTGGAAGAAAGCACACAATCAAAGATGGTTCCACAAGGAAAGAACGATAAGAATCCATAATCGCAAGCGGTGAGGACTCTAACAACCAACTAGCACCCAAATCCCATCCACCATATGCAAGACAGCAAGTGGCTGTACATAAAGGCACCAAAGAGCACATATAATCTAACCACTTTAGACCACGGCTCCATGCCCTAATCCAGCACACATTTCCCGTTTGTCACATCAAGAACCCAAGAAGAAATGCCGATAACAGAAGAATCGTCACTTATACATAAGGGAAAAGAAGCGACGATAAAAAAATTCCATGGAATTAAGCGAAGCAGATCAAAGAATTCGCGGGCAATCGACAGTAAGAAATTGGAAGAAGGGATGGCAGGGAGCACCGACCTCTTAGACATCGCCGACAGAGAGAGGACGAGAGGCGACGAGGAGATCGGACTTTACGATGAGAATGGTTGGTAAAGGAGAGAGAGAGAGAGAGAGAGAGAGAAGAGATCGGGGAGGAAAAAAAGTAATCCTTTGTCTTAGGGCTCGGTGCGGCACGACCTCACCTCACCTATCATTCATCGAGACCATGGAGGCGGAGCGAAGCGGTCTTTGCGTTTCCCTTAATATACAGAAACGCCCCTCGCTCATGTGGCAACGGAGTGGGGTGGTGGTTGGCACCGATGTAATCACAGACAAAGAAGGGGCCGTGGAACGGCTTGAATCGCCTGTACCTTAGGCATCGGACGGTGGGTGTGGCCTAAAACTGGACCGGGGACGTGATGGGTTCGGTGATTTGGATGGCTTTTCTTTTTTGTAATTTTGGGAGTGCTCTTATGTTTTTCATTTTAAATAAAATTTTGTTGGATATAAATGAGATGTTTTAGTTGCATCGTATAGACATAAATAAATACATCATGCGCATAAAAAATGAATGCATCATGTAAATCAAATACTTTGAAATGCATAATACATTTTATTTTCTTACCGAAAATAGATACATTTGACATAAAATATATCAATTCTGGAATATAATAAATTGACATAAAATAGTACCCTCCTCCTGTCTTTTGCATTTATTTTTATAAAATAAATTTTATTACCTTGTTATCTATTAATGACATAAAAAAAAAGCTTTTATGATCGAGCATTCATCACACCGACGTGTCTGCCTGCTCACGAGGCAAATACCTCACGGTTTGTCAATCCCCACTGACCTAGTTGGACATCTGCTACCTACTGCTTTCTCGGAGAGTTCTTCTTCCATGATCTATAGTATCTTGGCTTCTGTCTGTAGCTCGGTTGGGTACTCGATATGAATTGTTCTGCTTCAGGCCCGACCCACTGGGCAAAACTAGAAATGCTTTGCGTTAGACTGTTCTTCGACTCATGTTTCCTTCTCCTTCACTTCACCGGATACAGTAAACGACATGGGAAATGCTGCTAAATATATTTCTGTAAATTAATTTGCAGACAAAGAGCTTTTGCTGTAGTAAGAGAGCATCGAACAAACCTTTCAATGATACTTCATGGCACTCTTCCCTTCACGGAGCAACTCATATCTCGATGAGCGTCGGACAAAGGTGCCACCACTCAAAAGTGAAAAAGGAAAGCAAACACTCCTCATCAAATAAAGGAAAGACCACTAGATCTTGTCTGCTTTACTGGAAAGGAGAGTTGTTTCGTTGCATCACACCAAACTTAGATGCATCTAGCTAGGCCCCAAGAAAGAGAAAGAACTCCCCCTGCACCAACACCCAGACAAAGTGAGATGTAACAGTTAGTCATGGGCAAGAAGAAGAAGAAGAAGAAAAGGAAGGCTGCCTCAGTCTAGAATGAGCCGATGCAGGCCTTCTTGTCATCTTTAGGACCTTTGCTTTTCTTGTAGGCCTTTGGTTCTTCCTGATCAAAGTTAGATTTTGTTGAAGGCCATGATCTTTATGCTCTCGCACCGCAGTTCATCACTCACGACATGAACTTCGCAGTACCCTATAAAGATTCACAGTGTGTCCGGACGCCACCGATTCCTTGTGCCCACAAATCTACCTTTCACATCAACTATATATTTTACTGCTCACCGTCGTAAGTTTTACCTCTCGCCTTAGGTGGGGGTCAATGACAAGTGAAATCAGACGGTTGTGTTTGATCAATCAATGAACCAGCAATCTCATCATCATCATGTGGCTGAGACAGAGAGACACTGTTGCAGCAGCGTTCCGTCGCTCTTCACTTGCAGGTTGTGGGGTCCATGGTGATATATGGACGAAGGGGACCCTGGCCCACACATGTTTCTGTAAAACGGAAAGATCTAAAAAAGGATGAACGCAGTGAAAGAAACAGCTAAAACAAAAGAACACATGCAATACAAACAAAAGTCGTAGTAGATTTGTTTTTATGGATCGATCAAATCGGAAGAATTGGGTTTCTTTCTCCAAAAAGCCAACCAAAAAAAAAGAGTTTTGACTTTTTCCTTGTGAATATGAACCATGAAATACAATGTATCAGCGTTTGGAGCTGTATCTCATGCTTTCAATGATGTCCCATATCATATTGAATAATGTTATAACTCGATAGAATGATATTATCGCCATTATCAGATTGCGAGAGAATTGAGTTAGATATCAATTCAACCTAAAAGTATAGATTACGAGCCAAACTTACTCTTTGAATCCTTGACGATGCCAAACTATCCTCTTAGTCAACCTCTTTTAATCTCACACGCATGAATATTTTTAATGATTATTTCTCTTTTTTTCCTCTTTATTTCTTTAACTAACGTCATATCTTAGTCACTAACATATGTACAAAAATGTCGTCGGAAAGTAAACAAAGCTCTATTTATCTGTAAAGTCCAGTGATGAGAGGCATTTGATGTTGTAGCAATCGGCGATTTCCATGACAACCGAGTTTTGATAAGATCTTTTGAACTCTAATATTTGTCTGAGAAAACTAATATCAACCACCCTTGTAATCTCCAGTGCAAAGCAAGCAGCAAAAGCAATTAACAGATTTATTTATGAGGGAGTCGGTCCAGTGTCTCCTTTAAAAGGCTACGAACAGTAGGTTGCACTGTCACGAAACATGTAACAGTACATGGGAGATTCTGCAGAAAAGAACGTTTTGGTAAGGAAGACAATGAATTCTCAGGCCTCAGGTCGGCAATTCTCCATGCTCCCGTCCATCTTGTCAATCGTTTCCAGTGATCTGACCTTTCATTGTTGGGTTGCAGACACGTTCGTTTTGTTATTTTCGATGGGGATCGATGTAGATCCATCTAATAAGCTATGGTTTTCGGATCTAAAATGAGGATTGGATTCGGGCAGGTTTTCATCAGCTACACCCCCTCTATCTGTATCATGCTTCGCCGGAAGACAGACAAAGTGCAGAGAACAGAGAATATATAGATGACAGGCCATTGAAAAGGACAAGAGGACACAGCGTAAGGATCAAGTATGGGGAAGGTCAGGGAAGTGTGGAGCCTCGCTCACGTTGGGGAAGGCCTACTACTACTCCAAGACAGACTGTTCACTTCCCCCTATATGCTACACTACACTACACTACACGCAGATCTCCTGATGGACCGGTTGTAGTCTGATTGATATGACCCGTCGATATGCCTCGTATTGACTACTCTCTCTCTCTCTCTCTCTCTCTCTC